AGGTAATTTCATCATCGACCACTCGTATTAGGGGTTGTCGAGAAATTCACGGGGATTTCGAATTATTAAAGAAAATCCTTTTTTTCCAATTTAGTTATAAGATTATAAATTAGTTATTAATAGAAAAATTGAACTTTCATAATTCTAAATGTCCCAAATTGTCAATTAGTAGAATTAGGTATATTACATTATGTTAATTATAATCTATTGTTTGAATCTTATGGTTAATGTAGTAAATAAGTACATGAATGTGTTAATAGATGATAGGAATGTATTAAAAACAAGGTTTGTTTCTTTTCGAAGAGTTTTATTAAATATCGATTAAAAGAATACATTCTAGCGACAATTTTTTTTTATTAATGCACAAATACGGTAACATTTAAATTGTATACATGTATAATTAACAAGTTCATTATTTGGTAACATGCTACACTCTCGAAATGAAAATAAAAATTATATATATTATATCATTATGGCAATTGACTACTTTAGTAATAATATTTCAATGGTTTCTTTACATATATATATGTTGTTTTTATATAACCCATTTTATTTTCCTGTTGACTTTCCTCCAATATAATTTACCAATTAGGTTTATGCTGACAAAAAATTTAGTACTTCCATTTAGTCTTTGCATTATTTTATTACCTTTGATTTAAACTGTTTTGGTTGTTAGTTTATTCAATCTTTACTTTGTTTCTTCGCCTCAAATTGATATTTATAAATAATAATAATAATATTGATAAAAAAAATAAACATCCTTCAGTTCGCTTCGTTTTCCAAAATAACGAGACAGAGTATTGCAATTATTGCTTAACAAATAACAACAACAAAAATAGTAATAGTAATAAAGAAACGAAACAAAAAAAAACAACTCGATTTTGATGGTACTCTCTTTTACTTGATTACATACATCCATATATATTATATATTCTTTTTCACTTTAGCTTATTTGTTGGAACATTAACACCCACACAGAACATTTTTCATATTACATCATATTGTATTCCATTTAGTATATATTTATTTATTTCATTTTTTTTTGTTTGGTTTTATAATATATTAGTAATTTGCCTTAATCAATAAGAGATCATATCATATATATTTATATAAGTATTATTATTCAATATATATTTTTTTTTGTCCCGTTCCGGGTTATATAATATGTGACAGCGAAAAGAGTTAGACAATAGAACGACGTGTGTTATTCCTCTTAATACAATTTTTTTATCTTCATATTTATCGTTCTTTTATAGATAGTTTTTAACAGAATTTTAACGACTTACATAATAATAGCCATTTTTTTTCATCAAGTTTTCATTCGTCTCCGTCTTCATATATAATATATATATAATTTCTTATATAACTTTATATCTAATGTATTGTCATGAACCAGATATTTAAGTACTTTAATAGAGGCGCGGCGGGACGACGCTCCCGTATCGACTGAAGGGGTGGCACGGAATACAACCTGTCCAGGATTCAAGTAGATGCAAGGGGTGATTTTTATTTTTTTCGGGACTTCTCCGTAGAAGTCCTCCCCGGGGAACCGTAGCCTTAGCCGCGCTCGAATATTGATCTGGCAAAGTTATTCACATGGAATATGAGGATATTAAGATACATCTATAGCAATTCTAAAGGTTAAAAATTACAACGTTAAATACATTTGCATCACTGTTGAAACTGCGGCGTTCAATTTTCTTAATTTCCTTTCCTGAGCTTCATTCCACTTTCTGCCCTCTTCATCGGATGTTCTCCAATACTCTTATAAATTATATATGTGTGTAAATATGAACTCGATGGATGGCAGATCTTAAAGATGATCCCCATCCGTCCTCGAAAATTGTACTGTTTCGCAAAAAGTTTATTGCCAACTTTTAATCGTTTCCCATTCGATCCGAAAATTATGAAGAGCCGAAATTTCTCAGTTCCAGCAAATCGCTTCAATTACACCGAAAAAACAACAACGTAAACCTTATATTATTTTAACATTCATAGAGTCAATATAATAATATTTGTATATACCTATACATGTACATATATACATATTCCCTAATTTGTGTCCTACATATATGTATACACGTATAAATATATCTTATTTATATATATATATATATTTTGTTCGTCATGCAGTTTTCTTAAAATAGATTTTTATATATTTATGTAGATTATTAATGTTTTCTTTTGTTATCGTTAATATTGAAAGAACGAAAAGTGGAAGCCAAATTACGTCGAAGCCCGTGCCACGCGATTCCAGGTGCAAGAGTGTGGAGTTAGGATGAGCGCGGGAAACGGTCTTCTTAGAAATTTGAAGACATCAAAAAAACCAGTAATCTTCTTTGCGGAGGAAAGAAGTCGCCCCACAAAAGAATTAAAATGTTCAGCAAAAAAGAATAGACAACTTAAAACTAGCGGAAAGTTACTCATCATAAATTTTCTGTTACGCGCAATTTTTTTTTGTTACTTTTCATCTGCTTTGTTCATTTTACATATATATACAAATTAAAACTTAATTGTACGTATAACTCCTTAAACGAACCAAAAAAAAAAAACGTTGCTATAAAAGAAAATTGCATCACATGTTTTTTTTATCCTTATTGGAATATAGCACGGAAATTCGTTTTTTTTTGTTTTTTAACTCTCTCTAAATCATTAGGGTAGTTATTTTTTTCAGAGTTAAAAAAATTGAAATCATTCGGACAAGCAAATAGCTGGAGGGTGCGGATATTTATGTTCTGTTTTGATGACTAAAAAATAAATTAATTGAATTCTTGTTTGCATGTTGCTTTTACGTCCACCCTAGCCGGTCACTCATGGTAAAGGCACATCGACCTTCACGTAAGACACTGGAAAGTATCCTGTGCGGCCATTCAGACTGCCCTCGAACCAATTCTCGTCGATCTTATTTATCAAAGTGATCACTTCGTTTTCCTGGAGCAAAATATTTTTCTGTCAGATGCCGTTTCATTTTTTCTTTTTCATCCGATGTTGCTGCTTACCTTGAATCCCAGCTCGCCTGGATTCTCTGGCTCGAATTCGTACAAAGCTGTGCAGCATGGAGCCCTAGCCAACGGAGTCTTGGCCGGAGATTTCATCGGGGACGGCAACGGAGATGCTAAAATCATATCATAACCAAATAACAACCAATCCCTTCATGTTTAACTACCTATTCTACAATTGTCGGAATTAAGACAACATACGGGCAACCGAAATCTGCAGATTTATTAAGCGTAATTGAAAATTGATTTCGTATTGTATCTAGCAGACTCCAATCGTTCGACACGATATTCCGACATTTATTCCAGAATAGGCCTAATTAAAAATAATAGTCAAACCAAAGAAATATTAAGAAAAAAAAACTTCCTAATGAATTTAGCGCAATTACTTTTTAACTTCACCTGAAAGTTCTTTTCTACAATTACTTAGATTTTCGATATATTCGATAAAGTTTTTTTAATTGATTACTTTTACATAATACAATGGTTTTAATTCATTCATTTGATAAGTAACTTATAAATGTAAGTTAGGAAGTCAAAGTATCGAAAAATGCGTGAAAGATTAGTAGGCACAAAAAGCTTTCGTTCCATAGTCAAATCTATAAGGCACAAGAGTATATGATTTCTTAAAAAAAGAAGATGAGAATGTAATATATTCCAGTAAATTCAGTAGGAAGTAAATAACGGTGAAAAATAAATAAACCGACAAAAACATACATTTTTCTTTTCTTCAAATATTTACAAGCGTAAACGTTTGCAGAAAGTTTGATCAAATATGCATACAGAATATGTATGTGTTGATGCGTTTGACACGTCGTAAAGTTCTCGATGTCCTAGAGACAGGCTTATATCAATAACACGGCTAGTCCAGTTTTCGCATTTCAGACTACAAATATAGCCATAAGCGTAGGTTGGTTTTACGTAAATATTTTCATTTTAATATAAATATAATTCTCGCCTGTCTCGGGAAATTCGAACCGCCACACGTACTAACGCAGGACATTTAAAGGATTATCATTATAAAATAAAAGAAGAACGCCGGATGATGTCATCCAAAATGAAACGAAAAAAATGATAAATAAAACGAATCGAAAGTAAGATGATCAAACCAAGGAAGAACGAAAATGCGAAGGCACAAGTGACACATACAAGTAAAGCACACATAAATGCATTAACTTTTTTTTCGGTCTTTGGTACACATATAACAGTAGAAAAAATATATATATATATGCAAGAAACATTGAGTTACCATTAGCAGAATGCTGTCCAGGTAGCAACTCTAACTGATGAGGCTTGTGTTGTGGTGAAGACAGTTGTGACGAGCCTAGCAACACATCATTTTCAGAACAACAACTCAAGCATTTTAAAGTAGTCCTCAGTCGAGCACAAAAGGACATCTTTACGCACTACTCAAACACAATTCTAATCAAACACATAGAACACTGATCACTCGAGCCTCCATGTTTTCTCTATTTTTCCTCCTATTTTTTTACTTTGCATGAGCCAAAATTAGTTCTGGAGCTTTGCCAATAAAACACGTTCCATACAGATACACACAGATACACGCACGCACGCACACAGCTCGGTAACTACATCAGAAGAGATAGAGATGCCTTAGGTATAGGTAGAGAGACATGCAAGTTCAAGTAAACCGTGCCCATTGTCATGAACAACGTTTGGAAGAGTGTATACGACAGGTAAGAAGAGGTTGTTTCATATTGTATAATGCGACAGGGTGAAAGGGTTGATGCAGTAAGAGAGCAAGTGATATAAATATAGAGAGAAAAACTATGAAACGAAAACAAATTAAACAAAAAGAAAATCATAATAGATGATCGATATGAAAATAATATAGTAACAATATTAGACCAGCTTATTACTTATCTTTAGCTTTACGCCGTGTATTAGAAAACAAAACAGAGGATTAGATACTAAGTTTAAATAATAATAAAATAATATAAAAAAAAATAAAATACCTGTACAGTTCCAGGGGTCAAATGGATCTGGTCTGGGCATGGTTTGAGGTTTGTTGGTGATTGGAGGTTTGTTGTTTATGCTATATGCGGGAGGAGGGAAATTATGAGGTGTGTATGCGGGTGGCGGAGCTGTTGGAATTATGGAATTAAATGTACCATTCATATCCGACACCGCCTCTATATTAAGATCTGCAAGTGATTTCGGTACAAACTCGATCTTCGGACGATTGGCCGCCTCGTCTTTCCTAAAAACATAAAACACACAAAGAACGAATGATATACTCGAACCTAGATCAAATATTTCAATTACTTTTCCAACAAAGTCTCGGTTAGTGTTTTCAATACTTCAGCGCACTGGCTATGATATTCGTACATCCCCTCTGCGAACGTGGCTAACTGAGAGATTTGCTCCACCTAAAACACGCAACACCTGGGTGTCAAAAAATGGACCTATCCTTCATCACAGCAAATACTCACATCATTTTCCAGCAAGTTAAACATTCCCATTTGAGCAAGGTGCAGAGATTCAGCAAATTTATCCTCGGCCATCTTAATCTCATCATCTGTAATATGTGAACCTGTGATGTCGAGTAACAGGCCACATGCAGGAACAACAAAAACGCAACAAAAAAAGAATAAACACTACTGAAAACAAAATCTGAACTAAATATAAATCAAACGTGAAAAAAAAATACAAACGAAAATTTTTATACAAAACAAAATCATATTCGTCAAGCTTACGAATCGATCTACAAATAATAACAGTTACAATACGTGGACCCAAGAAAAGAAGCGACTATTCAATTACTTTTTCAATAACTGAGCATTCCCTGATTCCATACCGAAACCAGGATCTCATCAATTTGAGCAGGTTTTCCAAGTCTTTTACATCCGCAATATAATTTTCGATCAACTTCATTTCTCCAAACGCCAATTACATGGCAGATTACATCCTTTTCTGAAGTTGGTTGCCTATGTCAAATGTATACTTGTATTACTTGTATTCCAAATACTTGTTTTTCTTTTAAATTCAAATAAAAATAATTGATTGACAATTTTATTGATATTGTTTCATTGTTAATTGTTTAAAACATAACGTTAGAACGTTAACAAGAAATTGAGTGAGTGTTTAGAATTAGTTAATGTTAATGCGCGTTGTAACCGAAGAGCAGATAGTCAATCAAATGAAATTTACTGTATCTAAATATATGCAGTAAAAGAAAATAGAAAATGAAGAGTAAAGTGCTTACCGGAAGCAGGCTAAATTCATTAAACCGTAATGAGTCGCAATCAATGGCTGCCCGAAATTAAATGCAAGTAAATCTGTTAATCTCGCATTGCTGCCGGCGGGTTTCGAATAGAGCTTTGTAACAGCGTTGTTTGTCTTTATTGTAGTGGGAGTTTGAGAGCCCTGATGGGATCGCAGAACCTGGTGGATCTTTATTACCTGCGGCAGCTTCGACAAAGTCCAATTCACGTGGGACTTCCATTAGCGACAGCTCACCAAGTTTGGAAAACCATTATCACAGGAAAAATCAGGGAACACTCGTTCTACTTAATTAAAAAATACGTGACAGAACTTATATAGTTTTTGGTGTGGAACATACCAGTACTTCGGCCCTGAGTCTTAACAGGGCTTGAGTAAGGGCTCAGTGCGCCCTTAACTAATCATGCAGAGAACATTCAAGAAAAGAAAAAAGAAAAATAATAGAAGAAGAATAGAAGAATACAAAATGAACAATAGTTATATCAACATTAAAATAGAAAGAACATGCTGTATAAATTAAAAAATATACTTATTCCAATAATTTTTTTAGCAAAAATTATATTGGCTCATGTATTTTTATATATATATTGAGTATTTATATATAGATGTTTTGAATAGTTAGCCGAAAAATAATTACGTTTTGCATCTAGAATTTAAATTCAGAGTTGGTATATTTTGCAGAGTGTCAGATATATGATGTTATTATTGATTGGAAAAAATCAAACTGACCTTTGGCCTGCCTCCTGCGTTTGCAATCGAAATCGAGTCGTCTTCCCTGTAATTTTTTCCGATGATGCTGCGGACCAAATGTAATGATTAGGAACATGTTGATTGGCGAAGATACGGGCGATATCTTACCATGACCTCTTTTATATCTTTCGTTTGAAGGTGATGCAAGGGCTCCAAAAAGTTTTGCTTAATATTGTCATCAAGTGAGTATTTCACATCGGCCATTTGCTTCAAGGATTCGCCCATTTCAACCATGGCCTGCCCGAACATACTGTCATCTCCTAACTTACGGCCGTAATGGAGCATGCAATCACCAAGGACACCTTCCGGTTGAGGATAGGTGTTGGATTTTGCTTGGCCGCTCAACTTACTAATGCCTTTGACGGCAGCCATCTTGGCCCTAGCAGTTGGATTCGGCTGCAAGTATTCCTTGGTTTTCATTTGCAGTTCCTCGACCAGTTCATAGGTGACATCGGTTTTCTACAAAACGTTGTTACTAAGCACATCAGCGAACGAGGGCACGATCATAATACCCTCTCCATTTCCATGAAGTCCAGGTCCAACTTTGTCCCTTCTGCTCCTCCCATCTTCTCCGTCATGTACTGTTGATATTAATAAAATAGTCGTTAAAGTAGCTCTAATTAATTGCGAAAGGGCTTCACATTGCTTGCGTGGGCTTCATTCATAAGGGATTACATATTAAACAGCCCTCGCGAAATCAATCAACCCACGCAGGAACTACGTACTCTGTAAACCCTTGTTAACGTACGCCCACGCAAGCATTCCTCTAATACACCGTCGCCTATGCGACGATACCCACCTGGTTGCATTTGTTGATCTGCTTCTTTAGCCCTGCGAATGCCATTTTGGTATCTGAAACAAACAAACAATAGTACTGCATTCATCCACCAAAGCGGATTATCGGTGACATTCATTAAGGAACAGAAGTAAATCTCTAGCACTGCTGGAGAGCAAGCAAATCAATGCTGTCCTCCAATTGCCGGAGCTTACGTCTGCTCGAATTGGATTCCTGTCCGCAACACAACTATGCCATGATTGCGCTGCCACAGTTTAAATGGAAATTGCAATTTCCTCGGATCATATTACATTTCTTTGGGCTCTGAAAACCTGTCAAACTAATTTCAATGTGGCAGCACATCTACTTGAATATTGATGAAGGTCCGAGCCGTGTCTCATCATAAATTTCCATATAACGGGCATTATGGCATTTCAATCGAGCGTTTACTCCAGATCACGATTTCGCTCTTATGTTCCGTAACATTTATATCTAAACCTGTTCTGAATTTATTTCAAAATTTCTCCTTCGATAATATTGTCTCTCGGATATGCTATCAAATTCCTAATGGATGCTCTAATCCATCAATCATTGATCCACATCATTCATTAGATATATATATATATCTCTAATCTTGTCCACGCAACTAAAGTTGAAGTATTTCTCGTTCAATTAAATTATTAGGGAATATGATTCGAATTGACATACTTCAATATTAAAAGAAAAACTAATATAATCATTGAATACAATATTATAACAGATAATCGTGCTTAGTTAACTTAGTTATAAATGCAAAATTTGCGAAATCACGTTGTTCGCAGTGAGAGATCTTCATGTGTTATTCCATCAAAGGGTCACTATAAAGACTGTATTGTTGTGATTTAGCTTACTCGGTAACGCACAATTCGCAACGCAAAAGGTTCCATACAAGTCTAATCAGCGCCGCTCGTTATGCAATCATTTCGACAATGAACGACAATGGGGGATCATCCATTAAGTAAGAACTATATTTTCCATTCCGTTTCTGAGAATATACACGAATTTGTTTCAATGTAAGATGAGAAAATCATATTAAATAGGATACGGTAAACCTCAAGGAAATATTTTAGTGTCTTTATAATTTAATGATCAAGAAAATATATATACACTGGTAAAAAGTTTGCAAGAATAAGAATTCAAAATATTTTTTTTGACATTCACAATCAAATTTACTGAAAGTGATCATGATTATGTAACGACGAAAAGATAATATCGGATGAGTGATTTTCTATTAATTAGCGCTATGTGGTTACAACCACATGCCTATTTAAACCACAGTTCGAAACCGCGCACAATTTAGTAAAGCTCGATTATGAATAGAAATGTAGATACTTCGACTCCTAATTATGCAATCGATTCGATCCAAATTAAGATGAATAGTAAACGCTTTACAAATTTCCTGGCATTAGTAGTTTTCCATGAATCAATACAAAACTGATGCATAATTCACTTCGGAAAACAAATTGTTAGTTAGTGTAACGATTCAATTAATTAAATCCAAATGGGAATTTAAAAAATTAACGCATAAAAGCTAACGTTCGTTTCATTAAATTCGAACGGAAAGTTTAAAAGCAATCTAAATTAATTACGAAATCCTTTCAATGCTGCAAATTGAATGCCTCTACTCATGCAGAATTTGGATAAAAAAAAAGAGAAGAAGTCTTATTGGGGAAAATTGCAAACGAGAGAGAAAAACGATGAACTTTTTATCGACACGATTAAAAAGGGCTCGCCAATGGAAAAATACATTTTTTTTTTTGGATTAAAACGAACATCGATTTTGTATGAGTGAAATGTCGTGGAATAGATGCTCAGCGCATCGAGAACCACTCGAGAGGAAATAATTAATTGAAGTATGTTTAGAGGTTATAACTCTTTGATTTTTCCGAGTCAATTATATGAATCCAGTAGAAACCAATGGTTTTTGTGTATACAAAGGCAAAAACCCTTCAACTTCTGACGTCGAAAAAAAAATCTCTATACACAAATAACATCGTATCTCAGAAGCAAGGAAAACAGCACTGAGGAGCTTTTTTTTGTAAGAGCAGATATTAATGATCAACTTAATTTCATTAAGCAACCAAAATGAACATATCATTTGTTGACCCAAGATTAGTTATCACATATTTTTTTGACGCCGTCCATAGGTTTCTTAATGTTTCACAACAAACTCTAGTAGAAAGGAGAAGATTTATTAGATAATACAAAATACTTGGTTGAAGAACCTCATTATTCTAATAAAAGGGAGACTTAATAACTATTTTAAATTAATACACGAATAGTCGTAAAGACACCATAAACAAAGTTTTTGAAAGTTCTTATTATACAAGGAATTTGGAAAAACAAAACTATTTCACTTTTATTTTGTCCGCTTCTACGAAAGCTGAAAATGTAGAAGCTAAAAAGGTATATATGAAACTGAGCGTTAAAAGCAAAGATTTATGAGAAAATTGCGTAAGTTGTGCGTTATATAAAATAGAGTGCACTTAATTATTGAATATTGAATTTTGTATGAATCTGTAACGCTGATAGTTGTAGCAACTAACAATATTGATTTTATATATTAATTATTTTAGTTAAATGTTCTTTACAGACAGAGGTTGCAGTTTTTCCAAGATGAATTATTTATTAATTTAAAGATTAAATAAATAATATTAAAAAGTGTTTCTAATTAATTGTGGAAGAATAGAAAGAAAATGAAGACTTCGTATTGAAAGATTGTATATTAAAAATAAATATGGAATTGATATAAAAAAGATTTCAGGTAGAATCATATAATAAGAAGATCGTTGAATGGAAAAGTCGTTGCGGAGAATTTGTAAGAAGTAAGAAGTCTGAAATGAATAGCGAAAAGGTCAAAGGCGATTAGAAGAGATGATATTATAATGGATGTAATTAAAAAAAATGTAATTAAAAGTTGAACCTCGGTTGGGGTGGTGGGCATTGAAGATTGGGGAATATCTTGGGAAACGCTTCCCAGCAGTTATCGTCGAAAGAAAGAACAATAAGGCACACGCGATCTTTAATCGATTCGAAATTGTACATTGGCGAGAAAAAAAGAGTTATTTAGCTTTTGCCTAACACGCGATGCAAATGAAATAATGTCGAGGGCGATTTCAATAAAGGTCCACTTAAGTCTATGTGACACATTATCCTTTACACACGGAAGTGATTTGATTAGGACAAATTGAACTGGATGGATGCAATCTTGGATGAAATCAATGAACGAAACAACCCGAATCCGCAACAACAACAACAAAAAAAAAGGAATGGTACAATAGCGGAAATATGATTCGCCCATGGGGAGCGATCGATTCGGATGAATTGGGATGCGGATTAATTGGGTGGTTGGTCTGGGTTGCGTTTTCGCGAAAGCACAGAGGGTAGTCTTCTGGTGACCTAAATATCTCTGCACCTTGACATAATTTGAAGGGAATCGATTTTCCGGAGCGACTGGAAGAGGTTACAACTTCCTTATTGCACGCATTTTCCGTCTCTTGTTTTCTTCCTTTATCCTGCCGCATCCGCGCTGCAGGATTCTTAGGAATCGATTCGTGCCGAGCTAGCTAACAAACTTTAAGGTCAATCTAAATGATGAATCGCATGGGTCACGAGGTAAAGTGATACACACGGCACTTAATGAATCGAAGCCAAGATATGAATGAACTACTCGTCACTCATGTGTGTGTATGAGCGAGGAAAATAATTTAAAAATACAAAAATTGTAAATTTTAGCTTTGAAGGAATATTTGAAGAGTGGAAACGTACCTTGGGATGGGTGTCGTTGCTGTAAATCCAAGTAACGGAAACGGAAAGGAACACTCTAACAAACTACCCTCGGTCGAGCTAAAACGTGGACGAGCCTCTGGACTCAGGAACAGAAGAGCGCGCGATGCGCTTTATATTGTAGTTATTGACTACAAGCAATGAATTGCCATGGCGCAATCTACTCCGCGCACTTATCGATACCTAATGCCACACACATACATGAAGCCACCCCCACGTCCTTACCCACACAGACGTGTATACATATACTGGCAGCCACCCCCACGCTCATACCCACACACAAGTTAAAACATCCACCGACGTTTTAAGGGCGGCTGTGCCACCCCCGCAACGGCAATGCTGGTGGGAGTATGCAAGCATTCCAAAAGGGCGGCCCCAGCTACCCAAGTTGGCGGAGCCGCCCAAAATCGTCTCCATTTCGCATATAATTTGGCATGAAACAAACAACGAGGAAGTCGAATATATACTATATAGCGGAAGAAGTAGAACAAGATGGAAAAACACGCCTGCAAATGCAGCGTGAAGATCCGAATTCGCCTCACCCTTGGCGGCGATCGTTACATAACCCCGACGCCGCCCCGTTCGCGGAATCTCTAACCAATTTGCTAATCAACCAAATATTGCGTTATACCATGAGCTGGGTATTATGCTATTACCGATTCGATTCTATAACATACTATTTCCCTAGTTTTGGCACTCTATAATGACAAATCAATCAGAGAAATTATTCGAAATAATGTAAATCAAAATATAAATACAAACATATAAGTACTGAATGTCTACTGAATTTGCTAATGAAATGTTTACTTAGAGTTTAAGTGCTGACGATATTTGTAACACATTATGGCTTCGATATGTATGGAAGGAGCATTTTCAAGATCCCCAACAATCCCACAATGCAAAAAACTCAAACCCTCATTGAACCATACTAATTCAATTAATTCCAAAACTAATAAAAAAAAAACCAAATGCATGAAACAAATCAATAATTGTTTGTTTTTTTCATGAAAAAGTTAAAAATTACAAAAAATAATCTAAAAGATGAATAAATCAAATTAAATATCGTAATTATATAATGAAACTTATTTTTTACTAGAGATATTTATGTGTAGTTAAGATATACATAATTTTGTTAAAATCATATCGAACTGTATAAAATGAATGTTGGTGATGTAGAGGAAAACTGAGGTAAAAAGGAAGATGTATATTTGACCTTTAAAGAAATATTAATAATATTCAATACATGATATTGAAAGAAAATGTAATCAGTCTAGTGAATAGAATCGCATTACAACATGAGATGTAATCTACTTTACATAAAATTAAGTTTATATATTACATTTAATATGCTCCACCAAATTAAATTTTATCCAAAAGGTCGCATCCATCAAAATCAATACATATATTTTTTGTTGTTGCAATATCAATACGGATTTTTTTTTTAAATATATCAATCACAAATATATTTTAGGGATGATGAAACATGAAAGCATTCACTAGTTAAAAAGGTTCGTTAAAATTTTATGTAGGTACAAAAAAAATGAACGCGAAATAACTATTGATATTAATAGAAAATAAACACATTATTATTTTCGTTTCTCTTCTTCCACATTTCATGTTTAATGAACGTGCCGGTATTTTATCGAAAACGCAGTGTTTATTTTGCGCTCCGCAAACTCGAGTAATTGATTGCATTTATATAAAAAAAAAATATATAAAATAATGAAAAATGGAATCGATAGTGGAAAACGCTTGTCCAGTTGCCTTGTGTGGAGAAAGAAGGGTGTTGAACCCACCCTTAATATCAATGTAATTGCACCGTGATCAGGAATACTGAACACTTTGGACAGTTACACATTAAATATGCAAAGGTTGGCTGTAATCAGAAGACCACCGACGAGGATAATGACAGCGATATTCGCAGTGGAAACACCTCCACTCTAGTCACAACATCGATATTGCTTCTATTTACGTAACCTAACCATTTGCTGGTTTATTTTCATCAAGTATTTTTGGCTTCAGGGAATCTGAACTTACTTTAATTAATATGATTCAAATTTTAGAGAAAGGTATATTACACTTTTAATGCTACCTTCTAAAATTAGTAAAATCAATAAATTGGTTGAGTTAAGTCTGCATATGAAATGTTTGATCACAATCAATATATATATATAATCCTTGTTAAGGAAATTGCATTAATTGGACCACAGATATATCTTGACCTATGGTGGGAATTGGAACGTGTTCCATAATTGCTTTCATTTATACTTCAAAGCAGAATCTTCTGTTAGTGTACACACTACTCGGTATTCGTTGCATAGGTTACGTTTTTGGTAAGTTACTTGACTGGTAACTAGTAACGTGTACACACATATATACAAGTGTATATTCTGAAGCTATCTCAAAAGTATATGTAGCAACTTCGAATTATCCTAAGTATAAGTTATAATAACATATTTTTACATAAATCTACAATCCCAAGAAACCTAATAATTTTAAACAAATATCAAGGGAAATTTCATATTAAATTATTGATATAAACAATTTCTTATAAAATAATATATTTTTATTTGTTTTAATCGATGATTTTTAAACTCGGTAATTTGCAAATTAAGTTTGATTTATGATAAAGTTAAAAATATCTTTTAGTATTTACTAAATATGGGACAGAGAGAAAGAAAGAATAACATTTTTAGAACGTGACAAATATAAATACAAATTGATTGATAGATAGATTGAAACACGCGTAATTTCTTATATATAGTTGGAAACGTTCCAGCTGGCTGCACAAAATGTTTTTAACTTGCATAATGACAAATCAATCAGAGAAATTATTCGAAATAATGCAAATCAAAATATGTCGCACAGACATACATTTTTAAACAATCCGAAGGACGTCAAACTTCAAAATATTACTTAAATTATTATTAAATGAAATATTATTATATTCGTAAGAAAAATTATTTACATAATAACTAAAATATCAAGAATGAAAATTAGAACTGTATAAAATTTTCGTTATAATATTTTATTCAAAGAAATATCTGACTGAATAGAACTGAGATTATTTCCGCGACGCAGTCCCTGAGACGTGCGTTGAAAACTCCATTAATTAGATAATGGTAATAAATATGTAACGAATAAAACGTTTTGAATCGAGAATATGAATTAATTGTGCAAAAATTGTCTACCGAATCCAATAAATGTACATCACGAGAACAGTCGATACTTGCAAGAAAATAAATATTCCAATTAGTTCAGAAAGGATTATTTGCGGAATAAGGATATTACATTTCCTAAAGGACTGAACGGAACAGGAATATCCGATCCAATTGTGCGAATATGCACATATAACGTTATTAATTAAGCAATGTTAATAAACATGTAATCAATATATCATTTAGTAGTATCGATAACATAAATTATGTGCTTAACGCGAACCGTCTATACTTGTCCCCGGTATAATAGATGCATTCACCGGGGAGAAACAAATAGTAATCCCGAATGCATCGCATAAATCATTCGCGGCGCGGCATTAATTGCATAATGCTTCTGAATGCACGGGCACCGGTGGATAGCAGGCAGCGAATTTTCATTTTTTTTTAATTGTAAGCAGTTTATACAGACAATTCCGAGTCCCCGGCTTATTATTACTTCATCTCCGTAATTAGTATTGTTAGGTGAATTCAATTGCATAACGAACAAAGATTTCGTTATCAGTAATAATTGCACGGGCCACCACTGCGTAATGTTCCAATAGGATTCAATTGTTGGAATTTTCGGGGATGCTATAAAGGGATATGATGGAATTATTAGGTAGGCTTTGGTAGTGCAGATAATTAAATCACTATCCGAGAGCTTTCCGAGCGCGTATTCCACCCCCGCAAATGGCGACGGACAGCTTATGGCGAAGGGTGGTTGCTGCATTGTTAGGCCTAAACTTGTAATGTCCAACAAAACAAAATACGGATGCTGAATATCAACGGATTATCAAGGCGTTTACCCTGTACTCACTCCCACGCTTGCATCCTTTGATAACAGCGAAGAGGATGAAATCATCTCTTCGCAAATCTGATTTTCTTTTTTTTTTGCTTGCGCTAAATACCAGGCAAATTGATTTTGTGCGCGCGTTTTCTTTCTGTCTCTCTGCAAATGGAATGGGGGAAGGACTCCAGGGACCGGTCGCGAATTAATAATGATGTAATAGGTTTCCTTTACACGAAAATCAAAAGAGAAAAATATGAATTAGGGGTAGGTAACTAGTAAGTAATTCAGACCAATAATCCTTGTATCGATTGGACCTCCGTAGCCACAAAGGGCATCTCGTCGTTCGCCCAAATCCTCCCTCTTCATTTTTTTTTCTTTTTCGAGCTTCATTTCAATAAATGTTCGAATATATCTTTTTTTCGCTGCATTCTGTTCACCCACTCATCTGTAACCCAGCTGTTTGAAGAGGATTCATATTTACCCATTTCAAAAACGATTTTCGCCAGAGGTTCAATTAGTATCTCTACTACTCCTACACTGCATGCATTTGATTAAATTCAGGCTAGCAAAGAAGAGAGAGAATTGCAATTAAAACAAATTGATAAATAAATGTATAATAGAATATAGAAGAACAACTTCAAGTTGCAAGCCAAGGGGGTGAGAAGGTTCGTCCTCTGGACCAACGGGGAGGGTGGTGGAGAAATGTGTATGCATGAGCTAAGTGGGTGGTAACATACCCTGAATTTGTCTTCGTTGTCGTCTGGGTGGTGAAAACTGCTTCACTTGTCGGTTTGAATGGTTTAGCGCGAATTTTTCTCTTTGCAATCAGGAATTCGAAGATTTTGGTACGTACACAGCTGCGCCTAAACACTGTTTGACTGGATTCAGAATCCGAATGAAACTGAATGAAACTGTCAAACGCTGCCACCGCCGTACTAAATCAAAGATGCATCAGTGCTACCACCATATGTATCTTATGTATTATGCAACCATATTATCCATTAATTCTTAATTTCAGCCAATACCCATTTATTCCTGGATCTCGAGTAGTCCAATACTTAAATGGTTCAATAAATAGCTTATTGTAAAAGTATATCTTTTCTACTAAAAATACGAAATATATGGCTATAATCAAAGGATTATCCAACCATATCCTACTGTCTATTGAACATAAAAAAGTGAACATTGACCAATAAAAGTCCAATTGTAATCTACAGTAATCCTATTGGACGGTAAACGATAGTAAAATCAAGTTTAAATATTACTATAAGCTGTTAGCTACTAATAATAGTGTTTACTTGTTCATATTTGATTATATTATATTACTGTATGAAATGATAAAACAAAATACATATAATAAAAATATTATCTAAGTCTTATAGGAAATCACCAATATTAAATCTTCAACCTGAGTACTTTTCAAATTAGAATTATAACTTCAGATCAAGTGTATTTAAATAATCATTTCTTAATTAATAACAATATACTTATTAATATATTTTAATCAGAAAAAGCACACTTTATAAAGTAGCACAAACTGATAATAGAAATTAACATTAAAATTGTACTAGTATCAACTTTAATTAAACTATTTGTGTTTACAATATTAAATGTATTTTATTAGTTAGTTATTATCTTTCAACTTCTTCGACATATCTAATACTCAATATGTACTTTTCATAAAATTGCAAGAGATTTAGCATATGTTATTTAAATATAACTATATTATTTACCAAATATACGAGGAATATTAAATATTATCAAAGAAATATCAAGTATTAATAAAGGTCAAAGAAATTTTAAAATGTCTATCCAATATTGATACATTTTTTTGTGAACTAACGCCCATTGAAGTTGGTAGCCGTGCATAATAGCTTTAATTTGACAAAAACCAGTGGTACATCAAGTGTAAGTGACGTTGTTTGTCGGCATTTTTGTTTTTAATCATTTAATTTAATGTTTTGGTCAAAATAAGAACTTAACAATGGGTAAGTGATTATCAGGACATCACTGTGGTAACTTTGTGTAACATTCATTAACTTCTTTGTAGCTATGTCCAGTGGAATCTCATTCACCATAGCCCTAATCAGTGCAGTGTTGATATTCTCCGGAATGCAGATGTACAAGCCCTGGTTGGTCTCCAGCCAGATGCATACTATATTAGGAGGATACTTGGGTTCCATATTATTTATTTTCATAGTAACAGCCTGTGGGAATTTGGGAAATGTTGTCTTTGGGAAGTCCATGCAAGTTAAATTATTCCCTGAGGTGGCATTTTCATTAGCTTTAGCTATTTTTTCAACTGGGTCCATTCACCGCGTGTCAGCTACAACCTGGTAATTACTCTGTAGATGTTTGGTTGAGTTTTGTCTGAAATGTTTTGTTTTTGTTTTAGTGTGTTGTTTTCTCTTGTTGCACTATACTATATAAACAAGCACTCTCAAAAAGTATATGCAACACCAATCACTACAAATAGTGCACCATCTGGAAAGAAGAGGAAATAACTCATTTACTTTAGTAATATATATATATATAAAACATATACTCTTAAGAATCTCTTAAATGTAATCATCTAAGTTCCAATAAAAAAAATGTAACTTTTATTGTCTACTAGACTCTTAAATGTAAGATGGGTTTGGGACAAAGAAATAAAATACACAATATATTCCATAGCTAAATATTTAATAAATAATTATCATAATATTATTAACAAAATTATAATTACCAAAAACAAACATAGTACTATACACATTATTAACAATTCTTCATAAGTAATAATTACTTGTGAGTTAAATCTATATTTTGAATTAGGCGATTTTATCTCTAAATCCTGCGAAATTGACACCTGACCCTAAAACAAAGAGATCATACAATTTGGTTGCATTGAAACTCCTCTTAGGGTACGTAAATGTTACTAAAGTAAAATAATAAACTCAAATTGTCCATCTAATCATGTGTTGTTAATAAACCTTCCCTCGATCATGGCCCAAAAGTATTTAAAAAAAATATATGTATATACAATTTAAAATAAATTACGTAAGCCGACCCAAGTCGTTCCAGAAACTTATTTACAAGGTACTACAATAAAGTTCGCGGAATGATAGTGTCGATAGTTCCGAAGAAATCATGAAATTCCGAGAACTTTGTTGCTACACCTCCGACTTCTTATATAAGTTTACACGCTGAATATATTGCGACCCAAGCCCCATTTCTTACTAACCAGAAACCTGTTTTCTTTCAACTAGTTTTGTGTTTTAAACTGTAAACAATTCTGTAAAGAAATAATATTCATACAAAAAAAATAAACGGGCATAACTTCAATGGTTCGCTGGAGTAAATCTGATGTTTTTTTTTAGTATATGTATTGTAGGTATGAAATGGAAAAGATGTATGGTTAGTGCTATAAGCAAAGTTACTAACTTCTTGATCAGTGGAATTTCATACATTAGCACTACCGAATAATAACTCATCATGTCTGACTGTGCGTCTCCTCGCTTTCGACTTATTATTATTGTTATTGTGTATAATTTCTGCAGAAGTGAATCTAAAATGAGTCAAGAAACAAAAATAGGTAAATATGTATGTTTTCAAAGTTATTTGAATTAGACATACGCTGTGTCTACTGGTGAACCAGATCGGCTGGAATATGTGGAGCTTGTTGTGTCGTTAGCATTACTAGAAACACTCGTTGTTAAGTCTTTAGCGAATATAGGAAATTCTGAATTCAACACATGATCCAAGAGTTGTCCTTTAACTGTATTCTCTTGCTGAAGCTAAAACAGAATAGAATTGCAAAATGAAGCTGAAACGAACACTTATAAAAGCATAATGAATGGATGAAGTTACAAGACAACAGAAATTCAAATACCTCGGATAATACTGTTTCGTTCTCTTTTAATTTAGCGTCCCTGTGGGCAACAGCATGGCTCTGACTTAAAGTCATGCTGAACAGTTTCTGCATCAGATACTTGGCCTCATAGATATCACTGACTGAATCAACGATTTGCTGAATATCAGCAGCCTCGTTGTTATCTTGTGATTCCTCGATTTGCATTACGTTGTGCTGTGTTTCGTTTATCGTTTCTTGAACGTAATTTATGTTCTCCTGGATGTCTTCGATAAAGTTATCCAGCTGCGATAAATCCATATGCTTATCCGCAGCCTGCTCGCGCCTCATCTGTAACACCTCAAGTTCTTTCCCCAAATCCTCGCGTTTCTTCAGGAAATGCTCCATCCGCACTTCTTGCTCTACTATATTTTTCTTGCTAATTGTAATATTGTTAATAGACTTCTCAACCTTCAACCACTTTTGCTTTGCGTGTTTTTCAACAAACGGTTTCTGAGGTAAGCGACCGGAAGCTTTAAGGCTCAATTTACTTCTCTGGCTCTTACGCAAATTTGATACCTCTTCCTGTTTCCTCTTTAACACTTGATCCTTAATCCTTCGTTCTGTTTCCATCGCCTTTATGACGGTTGCACTCTTGCGGGTCTCTTTACGCAATTGAGCAATCTCCCTAATTTTCTTCATTTCAGATTCTTTGTGCCTTTGAGATTCTTCCTTCATCTTATTTATCAATTTCACCTTGGCGCGCTTCATTTCAAACAACTCGTTCTTGAATGATTTCAACTGATTATCTTGTTGACTCTGATTCCGGACTAACCGTGCGTGTTCTTTTTGTGCCACTTGGAGTCTCTTCAATTCTTTCTGCATATCCGACAGCTTCCTTGTATACTCATCTTTTACTTTCTTTACTTTTTCGCTAGGCTCTGGATGTGCCGAATAGGAATTTAAGACTTTATCACGCTCCTCTTGTGTGTTTGTAATTCTGGCTTGCAGCTGCATAAGCTTATCTTCGTAATGTTGTCGCATCGTTTGCATCCGCCTCTGGGAAAGTTCCAATTCATCGATGAGCTTCTGCTTCATATCAATGTCGGTGGTTAAAGACATAAGTTCATCCTTAAGATCAGTTTGAGAATCTTTGTCCTCGCTATCGCTCTCATACTCGCTAATATCGCTCTCCTCGTTTTCTGAGACACGACGATTCCTTTGTAAGATTTGCTTCTCCTTTTCTAGCTCCCTTTTGGCCTCCTCTATAAGAGAAGGAATTTCACCGAAGGAGACATCCATTGTTGCTTTGTGTGAGTGTGATGCTTGAGATCTGACTATCTGCTTTCGCAAAATCTCGCACGTATTGTTGGCTTCAATGAGCTTAGCTTTCAACTCCTCGATCTCTTTCATGTACTCTTGAACCATGTCAGTGAGATGATTATCCGAACCAGAGGTAATCCAATTACCAACGGATTTTTCCGCGAGCAGTGCTGTATTCTTCAGCGTCAAAGCATCTATTGTATCCTGCATCGCTTTCACACGAGTACGCAAATTATTGACTTCTCCTTGCAACATGTTGTTCTCATAAAACATATCGTTTACTGTTTCCGTGCCATCATTGCCGACCATCCTCTTGCCCTGTTTGTATTCAACCAGCTCAAGCTGCAGCTGAGCAATCTGCGTGCGAAGTTGACCTATAGTTCTAGAACTCTTGTCTTGGTTAATAGTTAGTTTATTCTTAATATTTCTAGCCCGGTTAGCATATTTAAGAGTGTTCAAAGTTTCCATGAAATCGCTGTCGCTGGGACTGACACAAGCGATCATCACAGTTTGACTGTTACCTCCCAAGCTATCCTGGAGGAGCCTAGTCAGCTTGGAGTCGCGGTAGGGGATATGCAAAGCCTTCTTGCTTTTATCGCCGAGCGCAGAAATCACGTTGCCCAACGCTAGAAGACCGCAATTGATAGATATTCCTTCCTTAGCCCTATCGCCAGTAGCACCAGTCCTTTTCAGTCTTTCAGAACCGGCCAAGTCCACGAAATGGAATTTAGCAGTTAATGTCTCGAATTCCGTAGAGTCACCTTCATCCGAAGGCACCAATCTCTGTTGCTTTATGTGCAATGTAAATATCGCGTGGGATCGACTAGATTGTGTATTCATCTGTGTGCTGGCGGTCGTACGGGACAAGGCACCAATGCGTAGACACTGCAGGGCCTCCTGGGTCGAGGTCACCGTCTTCAGGGCGACACCTTTCACCTGGATTCCGCCGTAAGAATCTTCGTGTATCTTATACGACTTCTCCTGCAACAGATTCATATAACATGAAAGAGGCCACTCATTACAGTTGCCTTCCAAATAACCAGTAATGACCACCCACGCACCACAGCCCATTTGCATTTCGAGTTTGTTTATTAAATATTCGCATTATATCATGTTTAAATATAGAGATTTAATTTCGTATAAATATTTATCCACTCACTTTGTTATAAGCGGGATTGAACAGATCTATAACTTCTTCGTTGTAGAGCTCCATAAATTGGGCCATCACTTTAAACTCGGGCGCTAGTATGCCGTTCTCCTTAGCCCTATCGATGCGATTCTGGATGCCTTCGAAGAGGTGTTCTATGGCCCTCGGGATGATACCCACCTGCTCTGGGGACATCTCCACATCAAATCCAGATCCCATAGTATAGGTCTTTCCTGAACCGGTTTGACCGTAGGCCAGGATCGTCGCATTGTACCTACAAAACAAGCAATCAATCAGACGACACTGCAAAATCGATAGACTCATCAGGTCATTACCCTTCAAGGGAAGAATCAATGAGCGGTGCAACACAGGTGCTGAAAACATCCACCTGGTTGTCTGGCGTATCAAATACATAATCGTATGTGAAAACTTTATCGGAGCCCAGCAAAACCTGAGGTTCTCCAGGAGTGACCGTCGTGCAGATTTGACACATCTCGATTTTCTCCCGCGGAATCTGCGGTCTTATCCTGCAATTACAAACAATAACAATTATCCCATCATTTCGGAGAGGCGATCATTGCCTCTTCTTTTTTTTACATTTACTTTCTACGCCCTCATTTTAGAGATTTGTTCGGCGAAAGCCGATCAACATAAATTCGAAACGTTCTAAAATTGGATACCCAGGACACGCAAATTACATAATTCCTAACGTAAAACGCGATATTGCGAGCAAACAGCGCATATCGATCCCCTCATGAGCACGCAAATTCTACAATAATAATACAACAGTGTAGCGATAATCTTATCTAATCACCAGAATATAGATGTATTAATAGATTTATGGATAGAAAAAATAAAATTATAATTTAAATATGCATATTAATGATACAAACTCCTACATTATTTTTTTCCAAATTCTATATTAGAAGTATTCGAATTAAGTTCTGCATGGAATTCCATTGATTGAATTTTTACGGTTGTTTACGAAGCAGCAATTCAAAACAAAACAAAAGTCGTAGGAGGTGAATAAATACAGAGGAAAGGAGAGAAAGAGAGGTAGATAAAGAAGAAGGAAAAAGCGACGCACCGTTCGGCTCCAAGGTTGGGGCTTTTTAATTTTCTAATGGTGATATTTAAATATTGCTGCGAAAATCGTTGTGCAACGTTGAATGAAATTCAATGAGGTGAACGCTGAATGTCTCAATCGAACAACTGGCGGCAAAAAGCGCCAAAAACTGGCCTCTGCAAAGTGCCATTTGCATGCAAATCGCACATTTGAGATGCAATATCAAAGACATTGCAATGCGACGTGAAGCAAAATACTTTCCAGTTTTGCGGCGAAACAATCAATTCATTTCGGTTCCATTCACCATGAAGAAAGTTGCCCACTCCATATGCCGTGTTCATTATGTCTTAATAAACATAATTTCATATTAATATATTAATCAGTAACATTTCAAGATATTGTTATGGTACACAATGTATCTATTTTAAAGATGTATAAAAAAAATAATGCCCAATTCATTAAATTGGCTTGATATGTATGTCAGGTGATAGATTGCTTTAAAAATATTAAATAATAAAAAAATCATTAAATAGTAAAATTACAATAACAATTATGTACCTTAGGATATATCTCTTTTTTTAGATTCAAATTAGAAAATGTAAAGAAAGAAAAGGATTATTTTCTTTCAAATGAACGAATCTTTAAAAATATCAATAATTTTAAATATAAAAGACATAGATCTATTTTGAGTATAGATCGTCATTAGCTCGGAACTAATTACTTCCAGCTACTTATAGTCCTAAACTCGTGATTAATGTGTCGAAGAAGAATAACGATGAGGATGAATTTGTTAAAGCCTCCAGATAAATATATCTAATGTAGAGTTTATTTTGAGACTTTAGATTTTTCATTACTGTTTTCACAAAATTTAAAGCGATTGCAGTATTTGTACATTTGTACACAATGTAATATCCGAATTTGGTTTGATGGAAGTTAAACCTTTTTTTTGTCGAAGTCTTGCAGCAATAGACCATGTGTCATCTTTAAAATCTGGGCTATTTACATGTTTGTTCTCTGTATTTATAGAGATTAAAGTGTTTAAATAGAGTATGAGGTAATGGCCCATTTCCGAAGGTTCTTATCTCCAATTGGATTCTATTTACGGAAAGGTCCCAATACGGTCCGTCGTGTTCGGCCGTTGTAAAACAATAATGAAGGTGCGTGTGTGTCGCATAACAATAACGACGACAATTTTTTGAGTTATGCAAGAGCACGAGGATCTATTACGGCAAAGGAAACGTGCGTTCAGGGGACGAGTTCAGTTTTTACGTCGTCCTCTTCATATCAAATCTTCATACCGTTCTCTCATTATCTGAAAGCGCGTTCCATTTTTAGCCTTCTGAATGGATGCATTTCGAAACGGGACTTGAGCTGCCGACGGAAACAGGAAATAATTATTGCACCTAAACACATGCGTCCGCCCAGTCAAAGGGAACGCCGAAAACGGGCAATGACAAACAACAACATCAAACGGTCGAACGAACAGAAAACCGAAACAAGAGAAAATCATTGCATAATCCGAGTTACGAAAAGTGTGTTGTTGTTTCTTATTTTGCAGTATTGCAACGTTCCAAGGACGCAATTTTTATGACACCTGATGTAAATCCGCAACCATAAATTTCCGACGAATGTGCAAAAAAAAAATATTGAGAAAAGCGTAGGCCTCCCAAGTTTTACGGCTTCGTTATAGTTACTTGAGACATTTACAGCATTATTATTATCTTCCTTCATTGTGCAATTTGCTGCACATATGTTTGATTATTTCTCATGATTTGTTCTTATTTTGTCACACAAAGATTTATTTTTTTGCTCATAAATTGAAACAATGTGATTATATTTCATAATTAATAATGCCTTAATAATTTTAAAAAAAATAAGAATCAATAAAAAAGTTGCAAGATGAAACTTCCAAATTTCATAATATCATTAAAGACGGCATAAAAATTAAATAAATATTTTCTAAAATCTTGTTTCAAAATATTTTTTGCAAAGTTACAAAGTTTCAAAAAAATCTTGATATTTTACAAAATTCAAAATATTTATTTACATACAACGAAACATTTATATTTTTGGAAAATCATATTATATAATAAAGTACAAAAATATTTGATTATATTGAATTGGATCCAAATTACTTGTTTAATAAAAATAGTTATATTTGAAAAATCTGATTTAAAATCTGCATTTTAAAAGAACTTTTGTTTAGAGAGAATCATACAATATTTATGTGATTATATCATTCTTATATTATTTTTCTATAGGATTAAAAACACCAAGACAAATTATCTTATCTGTCAAATCGGGCAACAGAATTCAAGTACGATGGATTCAATTTCCATTGATTCTCTTAAGGATTTTCTTTGATTTTCAGCCGAGTATTTCTTGCAATTAAACAGTTATGTATTCGTTAACATGTACATCTATACAAATGTATTTTCTTTTGCCTCGTTAAATGTACACCGTCATACTTAGTTGAGCAAATTCCACAAGATTTAGCACCTGACGTGCAAATTACAATTTTTTTCCACCTTGTTCTAAAATTAGAAATTTCTTCATGACAAAAAAAGAAAACATATATTGAGAAATAACGTAATAATAAATATTAAAACAGAAACATATAATGTCAGCAATAAATTCGATTTTTTTTATTTCGAACATGGACATTATAAAAATGTCCCATAAATTTTGCGAACGTTCAGATTTTAGGAAATCCGGAGGATTGACGCGTTACACAACGCTTCTATTGTGCTGTAAAGTAACAAACAAAACTATATATAGATAGCAATTGACGTAAATTGTTTAGCGAATTAGTTGATTGAATCTAAAGAAACAAGCATTTCCATCTATGGTTTAACATTTAACTCGAGGTTATGCAATTGATATTAACATATATTTTTTTCAGATATATATTTTCACAAAAAATACCCAATTTGCACAATTAAATGATAATAAAACACATCTTAAGTTATCACAAAATATGTTGTTTTTGAACAAATATATTTAAAATAATTATATATCTTAATAATGGAGTTATATAAATCTTAATAATAGTAATCAATAAATATATCAAAAGTCTTCACTATAGGTTAATAATCTAGTTCAAAAATACAAAAATCATCACCGTGCTCTGGTTAACAATCGACTGGTTATTATGAAGTGGACAGGCATTTGCGTGTTAAGGGAGTTGGAAATATTTAAGTGCGATGCCCGCAAATGGTTTAGTGAAATCTGTGGCCGACTAACAATTGAGCCAATTAGTGCGTTCCAAATCATATATAAATACAAGCTAAAACAATGTTACGCAACGAAGAATCTTCCAAAGTTTATATTAGATTCTCCAGTACAATAATTACAAAATAATATAGTACAATTACTAAGTGATATGATTTTCGATAAAGCGTTCTAATCCATATATTATCTTAAAAAATACGTTAATTGCAGTTTGTACCTATTTGTCAATTAGCTACGAGCATTGCGATTTTTTTTTGTATTACTCAATTTCTATTAATAAAATCATAAGAAATGCTTAGCAATTAGCGTTACAAATCACATGAATGCCACCACCTAAGATAAAACTGAAATTACTTGGCAAATGATTATATTAATCAAATTGCTTATCATTAATAACCAATTATCTACGACTCTAGTGGTCTTCTTTTCTCTTTTCTTTCTCATTTTGGATTATTCAATAGCTATTAATAAAATCGCGTAAGAAAAAAATAAATTATGCAACGACGTATCGTTCAATTAAGACGGTTGAAGTGAAATAACAGCTTTACGTCAGTGCTGAGCCTCGGGGCTAAGATTAATCATTTTAATCCTTACTAGGATTTTCTAATAATAATAATCATAATCCGTACAAAAAAAACACACACACAGATCTGACGCATGATGACTATTCGCAATTCGAAAGACATTGTAGGTCATTTCAAAAATAAATAAATTAAATTAAAATTCTATAAGCTCATCGATTTTTGTCTTATCTGAAGAGAAAGAAAGAAAGAAAGAAAGGAGGAAAAGTTTGCGGACAAATTGTTGGAACAGCCCAAAGTCTAAACTGTAACCTTTCGACCTCAATTTCAAATGTATACACATATATTTATATTTTTATTTATGTTTACTTCGCGTTTCATGTCTATCAGCCAGACAACATGCAATTTGCCAAGGAACATGGATGTCTATGCAGGACGATTGAGGATGATTGATGCACACAAGTGATCAACCTCAAGAAATCGTGCACCTGCTCTTCGCGGTAATAGAAACCTTCCGTCTTTGGGTTCTAAATTTAAAGTCTTACCCGAAGACGATAATTACCGACGCAAGGGGAAAATGCTGTTTGCCGAAGCAATTTTCGTGTGCGTTACGTTACGTTGGACGTCCTCAACGTAACGCCGCTGCTGTTGCCGCTGATGATAATGATGATGATGGTCATCAGCATCATCGATATTTTTGTGTTCGCGCGATTAAATTATTCATTAGCGAAGGCAACGATTTATCTTGGACGCATTCTAATTAAGGAGGAAATAAATTAAGGAGCAAATGCACACGAGCGAGTATTTATACATGTATATTTCCTTCTTCTCTTTTTATATATGTATATAAATATATGCATGTGTATGTATGTAAATATATATAAGATTTTTTTTTTACTTGTGTTCCTTCCGAAGGGGCGAAATTTGTTTTAAAAATACCCGAGCGCAATTAGCGCCCCAAATAGATTAACTGTCGCATATGTTGGATAATACTTAATTTGGCCCAATTATAGCGAGCCGTGTTCTTTAAAGAACAAGGAAAAAAAAGAAGTTTATGGTGTATTGATTTAAAAACGCGGGTTCGTTGATCCTCTTCAGCTGGCTGCACACCTCATATCGCTTGTTTTCAGGTATAGTCATAATAGGTATAGTCGTTATTCCTCTTTCTCTTTTAAGTGGAGTCCGCATTACAAAATACAGCTCGAAAAATAATAATTCAAAAAAAAGAAATATGAAAAGAAGAAGCCGAGAATAGGATTATCACATCGGGTCAAGGGTGTAATATCTGTATTTAAACGGTATATCTTATCTGAAAATCTGTTTGAATCTAATGGATGCGTGTGCTTCTGAAAGTTAAGAATCGCGTAAAGATTTTAAAGCTTATGAGGGTTTAGAAAAGTAAATTTTTATTTAAGATAATAGTGATGTGTATAGTTTACCTGACTGCGACGCGAACGGTAACGTCGTCTTCGTCCATGTTTTCGGTATCACCTTAAATAAATGACAATAAATTTACATCTGCATCGCGGCAAAAATTAAACCTACGCGAAACCATTCCTCCTACCCATAGATAAAGCTCCTACCTATGATTGGCCTCAGCAACATACATAATGGCACTTGCACATCCACTGTGGTCTTTAAATTCCGTACACTGTGTAACAGCAATGATCCATTCCCTATCCAATTGGCTTCATTGGGATCATAATTGCGGCTATCACTGCACTCGTCGACTCTTGTACCGCTCCGATGTCTGGATGTTGTGCCGATGTTCAGGATCTCTCTCCTATTCGCACATGTTAATACATCTCGGTGACATCACATTGAAGTGAAAGTGAATGAAAATACGGCTCGACTTAACCTACTACAACAACCCACAGCCATAGACACTATGGATTAGAATAGAAACGCTCGGCTTTTTTTTCATTGAATACAGCTCCGTCTGTTCCATACTGCTAATTCCGCCACGGCCACTCCGCTCTCATCCCCACTGCCGACGATCTACCTTTGTTTCCACCTTTTTTACTATCTTATCACCAACTAAACAAGCTCAGTTCCACCTCGGTCAAGGCCGGTTAATTTATTCTACCGTATAATTATACAACTCTTCCTGTATCCACCACCTACATCTACGGATCGACGTTAATACAATTATAATATACGTACACGGTCCATCTACCCTTTTTTTTCTCTCTTGTTTTGTTCTTTTTTGGTAAAACGCCGCAGGTGCTTTTCTACCTGTGCGAGCCCTGACCGACGCCCCTCGCTGCACAAACCTTAACCTCGAACAGGGGTGGTTACTAACCCCCTGGTTATACGAACGCGCGCAACTTCTTCGCATCCTGAATTTATTTATTTAAATTTGAATTTAATTATATTCATTCTTTCTGCAACCCAATTAACCAATCAACCAGTCTAATTAACATTTAGGTTATGATATTATGCAACGTTACATGCACCATTCAAAAATTCGAATACTTTGGACTCTGAAAAAAAAAACGTAAAAACTTTAAATTTTTAACATAATATAAACAAAATGAGTTTACAGCAAATTATGATAATATTCATTTGTTTTGCATTAATTGTAATTACTCTTCGTTTTATTCAATTAAACATTTCAAAAATTAATCGACGAATGCCTAAAAACAATGATTATACTGAAATTGTAGATTTTTGAAAAGTTCAAAAAGAATGTTGACCTAATGATAAGCACAAGATGTTTTCAATTCATTTTGTTTATGTTAGAATAATATTTAAAAAATAAATTTAATATTTCCATTGTTGTGTTAACAAACATTCATAAACATAATGGTTTTCCTTATCGTTTATTTGTATTCATATGTATACAATTCCAATTGTCAATTTCAAAGTTCATTTGATTGGTTTCAGTAAAAATGGTTCAATTCATTTTCAATTGATATATATTTCATTTATATACTAAATGAAAGATATTTCATATCCTGAAAACGATCCTCTAAAGATTCTTCTGTAGAAATAGTGAGCTCCAATAATGATCATATTCGCATTTTGTAATTCTATCTATGATTCCAGACAGTTTCTTTATTAATTTCTAGTTTATCATCTTTCAAATAAGTTTAAGCAAATACCGTTCCATTGTGTCCTCAGCGGTATCAGTTAATTACCTACTAAAACTTCAAATATAGATTTTTCCCGTTAAGGTCAATATTATACGAACGAGATAGCATTAAAATACGCTCATAGAAAGACTTGAAAGTTATAATATATTTCAAAAAACAAATAATAAATACATTAAAAACATTTTGATGGACAATAGAAAGTCCAATATATATAGACATTTATACATCAATAGAGTGTAGACATGCATTTGGTGGGGAAACAGTAGGGAATGTTCAATGTAAATGCATTGAGTATCATTAGCAGGAATTTAATGTAATACAAACAGTTATTGTGCGTCGCAAGCGAAACACTAAATTATTTCGTTGCGGTTAAGACGTGGGTCCGTGGTGATATGGTCGGATCAAAGAATGGAATCAAGTCGCAACTGCCGACGTCTGCAAACATGGAAAGAACGAGATCCATTGAACACAGTAAGTTGAATTTGAAATGTTATTAAATCATATCTCGATTGCACAAAGTTCTTACCGTTGTGTAAATATAGAAGTCTGTCCATTAATATAATTGTTTCGATTAGTGGTGCGAACATTAGACGTAAAGAGTATACTATAACCACTCTCTTCCACTGGTCTATTTTTTCCGAAATGGACTGTAAATCAGCTTCGTCCAAATTGAGTTGTATGTCTGAGCACCTCAAAGCGCGCTCCGCATATTCGAAAAAGGTCAAGCCATCTCTGTACTTGACGCTTTTGATCTGCTCTTTTCTACGGCTCGGATACTTCTCCACGATGAGCAACTCGAGTAGAGCCCTATAGGAATGGACCTTAAGATCTTCTACGTTTCCCAATATCAGCTTCTGTTTGTAAAGCTCTAACGCGTGACAAGCCAGTTCTCTTGCCGCGTACGATAGTTTAATTGGGTATTCCTTAGACTCCTCACTGACTGGAAATCCTAAATGCTCATTCTCCCTACAACAGCATCATGAAGAAACTGTTGCTTAATCAACAGTTGTAACTTACGCTTCTTGATCAGTGCTTAGCTTCATATAGCAACAAGAAGCGATATTGATGAACTTGCAATTCGTCGAAGTCTTGAAAAGTTTCAGTAGAGTTGGCGCCAAATCTCCGCATGGATGCAAACCGACAATGCCATAGGAAGTACCTTGTTGAATTAACTTCTCAAACTCCTCTGTAGTTATATTGGATTCAACCATTGAGCAAATATGTATCGGTCTTATTAAGTCAGTAACTCCAGGTTTGAGCTTCTTCATGTAAAGAGCAATCTTGTCGTTCAACTTGCTGCAGAAACAAGTTATTAATAGTGCTTTCACTAAATATCTCCCGTGACTATTACTTAGCGTAAGTGATAAAAGATTTATTCCCGTCTACGCTTATAACTTTTACGTTATAAACGTAAGCTAGAACCCTTGACAGATGGCCAACTCCGCCACCAACATCCACTACGAAATCGACAGGTATTTGCTGCGTCGTCTGATATATCAAAGCAGACATATTCATGATTTCATATGTTTTTTTCTTCTTCACACCTCTGAAGAAGTTGCTCTCAAACCTTCCATCTTTGAGATGCTCAAAGAGAGGAAAATTGCTTGAGTTAGAAAGCACATTGTACTGCTTGAAGTCCCTTGATAGAGAACAACGCAACACACTTTCCCTCACATTGAGCAAGCTGTTTGGAATACATTCTTCTTTTCTGCAATAAAAAATAATTTAATTAAGATTAACATCATCCATGTTCATCTTACGGTATTGCTGCAGTGGCATCAATCAATTGAGCCAGCTCAGCTAAGGACAAAGATTCTAGGTAGGTACGCCAATCCTTTGGCAACTTTTCCCATACATCTTCAACAAAGAAATCCTAGAAGACAACAAATTAGTGATCTCTGCTTTATTCCACGCAATTGCACTCACCAGAATATAGGTATCAGTGATGTAATCAACTTCTTTGATAACATCATAAGCTGACTTTAAGTTTTGTTCAATTTCCCCTCGGCTGATCCTTGACAAATAGGTCATGTTGAGTAATACAAGCAAGTCAATAGATGTAAAACGCAGAAAACGAAATGGATGTTTTCAACTATTTATTAGTCTTATCGACGATTACAGTATTATTTACCCAAAGCTGATAAGCAAACTAAAGTCTTTATGAGAACTGATGAGAACAGTGTTTCCAGGTTATGTTTGATATCTATTTATAAGCGTTACAGCGTTATAGAAATGCGCAAAAGTACATAGCGTAATAAATCAATAAATAGATGTTTACTAATTTGTAATACTATATTAGATTAGGCAATATTTCAAAACCTTCAGTATCGAGTGAAACATCTTGTGGTAACTACTTGAGATTTCTTTGAAATACTGCTGAAGACAAGTTTGAATTTTGACAATTATTTAAATATTCTGTTTAACTTCAAGAGTTATTGTGGCAACGTTGGATGCATTAAAATTGTAAAATTGTTGAATGCAGAACTACGTCAGAGGACGTATTTGCACGTATTTGAACGTATTTTACCAGTGGTTGCGCGTGTCTGCATCAGTCTTTAATAGAAAGCAACTGGCAACTGTGTGGTAGTTTGGTTGCCTGTTTCCATATGCCGTTTGCCTGCGTTTGGCTTTGAAACGTTCCAAAAACCACTTATCTAATGTATTTGTAATCAAAGTGAATGTCAGATGCGATGTTTACTATGATCGTGAAACAATAACGATATGTGAAATCCCAGTGATTAGTAGTTTCCAGGACTTGGACTTAGCGGGCAATGTTTTTTATTTTTTTGTATCAGTGAGTTTGTGCAGAGCAGAGAATCAAAAGATGAATACCCAAGTGATATCAGGGGGCGATCGAGGCAACATTTTCTCAACGCTGAACGTATTCGCATCCCCAAGCACTTCCAATGCGAATAATAAATTAGAAGACGAAAATGGTATAACAGATGTTGAGGGAAAGGTGAAAACACGATTGATGTCAATGTGGAATAATGTAAAATTTGGTAAATGCACATAGTTTTTTTTTTGCAAGTAGTTTCTACTTGTTTCTTTGTATGCATTGACAGTAAGAACTAATGGTTTTTTAGGAATGAAATTGAAAACAAATTTTTCCAAAGAATCTCCTGTATGGCTGCTAGGCCGATGCTATCACAGAAAAATAGAAAACCCAGAGACTACAGAGCTAGGCACTGACGTTGCAGCATTCACCAGTCAAGGAAATGTAAGGCTCATGAATTGCAGTTGATGCTTCAATGAAAATACTACTGTTTTCTGAATTTCTACTTTGATATTTCAGCTGGCTACAAATGATGATGAAGGTTTTGAAGGTTTCAAGAATGATTTTATCAGCAGGATCTGGATGACCTATCGTAGGGAATTTCCCATTTTAAATGGTTCCACATACAGCAGTGATTGTGGTTGGGGATGCATGTTGCGCAGTGGTCAAATGCTCCTTGCACAAGCGCTAGCTTATCATTTCTTGGGAAGGGGTATGTACTGGAAATATGAAATATGTTTTGGTTGGTTTGCTGAAGATATATGTTTAGGATGGAGGTGGCAACCAGACCATATGCCGACTTCAAGGGATGCTATACTGAAAGATATAACTCACAGGAAGATTATCAAATGGTTTGGAGATAAGCAAAGTAGAAATAGTCCGTTTTCCATTCATTCCTTGGTAACGTTGGGCGAGAGTTCGGGAAAGAAAGCCGGAGATTGGTATGGTCCAGGCGCGGTCGCACATATCTTAAAGCAAGCAGTAAAAGTAGCGGCGGAAGATAACTATGAGTTTGATTCGTTAACCGTTTGCGTCGCACAGGATTGTGCAGGTATGTTCAAAGAGAACAGTGTTTAACATCAATTTCTCTGTTATAGTTTATGTTCAGGATATATTGGATGAATGCAGCAACCAAGATGGTAAATGGAAGGCATTGATATTATTAATACCAGTACGTCTGGGAACGGAAAAATTCAATCCTATCTACGCGCCCGCTCTAACTGCACTTCTAACATTGGATCAATGCATCGGGATCATTGGAGGCAGGCCAAAACACTCGCTGTATTTCATAGGCTACCAAGGTACGATCTAATCATAGCAGATTACTAATTGACGCTAAATGAAAACAATTGCAGATGATAAGTTGATACATTTGGATCCGCACTATTGTCAGGAAATGGTAGATGTATGGGCTAACGACTTCTCTCTAAACAGCTTCCATTGTCGATCTCCGCGTAAGCTTCACCTGAGCAAGATGGATCCTTCTTGTTGCTTGGGATTCTATTGCGGCACCAAAAAAGATTTCTATACTCTAATTGATAATGTGCAAACGGTGCGTATTGTCTACGTAGTGTCTATTTATTTTTACAATTGTTTTCTTTGCAGACTATTAATGTTTCAACAAGGACTGGAAACGGGCCAGAATATCCAATGTTTGTTTTTTGTGATGGCTACAGCAGGGATTCCAGACTATCACCACAGCACTTGCTGCCACCTGATTGGGAGTACTCATTGGAGGGTGGTGATCTGGAATATGCGGAAACGGAAGAATTCGAAGTATTATAATTGAAAACACACTTGTTTGAGGACCATTTAATCTATTAGATTAGAAGCTTGTTAATCGAATTTTTCCCATATTTTATATTATAGTTATAATTTTATTTTTGTTTGTTTAACGAAGTCACAAGAAACAAATCTAATTCAGATTAATTTATTTTCATCATTTACACTTTCAGCTATATCATATTACATCTCTGAAAATAATTTATTGAATGTATAAAAAATATATATAAAAACAACATCAAGGAAACGGAAGTAATAAAAGAAAGATTGTTGATTTAAAGCTGGCTCCTTTGGCTCGTTATGTTGAGAGGAACATGAGCCGACATGGCTTCCAACACCTTTGGCCAAATCTCATCTGAAGTCCTGCCTTCGAAATCCTGCAGGATACCCTTCTTCCGATAGAACTCAATGACGGGTTGCGTAAGTTGCGCATAGTAATCCAGACGCTTCTTGACTACCTCCGGATTATCGTCTTCCCTTTGCACCAGATCTTCCCCGGTAACATCATCTTTACCCTAGAAAACGCATTAATTGAATTATAGATTAGCTCATAATTACATAACTTACTGGAACTTTGGGCGCGTTAAAGTCAATGTTATAAACGCGACCGCTCGAAAGATGCACCCAACGGTTCTTCACCCTATCGATAATAACATCGAAAGGTACTACAAGATTGACAGCGAAATCTATCTTCTCCTTCTCCCAAAGAGCTTCACATTGGGACAAAGTCCTGGGGAACCCATCCAGAAGCCATGGTTTGTTGCTAACGGTATTTATCTCGTTCATAATGAACTTCACCATCAGATTATCGTCAACCAACTTGCCGGCTTTGATGAATTTGTTCACCTCCTGACCGATTGCTGCAAATCCAGAAGTTACCATACCTACGCGAAAATGGTGTCTTCTCGCTTACGTGTATTGTTTTGAATCTGTAATCTCAATTTATCTCCGCTGGAGATGTGCTCCAGGTTAAAGTTTTTCACGATCCTTGAGGAGATCGTACCCTTTCCGGATGCGGGCGCTCCCAGGATAACGGATTTAAACATTTTCAGTGCCATTATGTGTGCGTTTGAACTTTGGATAGGTAATAGTACTGTTTGCAATGCGTGTATTTCAATTTATATGTCTGATAAGAAGCACGCTCATCGGATACCCGATTCGTATGTAGTCGTGGCCACGTGACTGATACTTTTTTGTATTCTGTTTACTAGTTACGTTTACGTTGGTTGTAATCTATTCCAGATGAGATGATGGTGCGTACACGTACTGGACTAGGTCTGGTATCGATTAGTCGGGATGGTCGTATTTTAATAGTACGCGCCGCTAGCGAATTCAAGATTGATCTCTGCGGAAACGCTAACAACCAGACCCCCGCTTAGCTTGGAAAGAAGGTCATCCGATCCAAACTGATCCAAACCGCTCTAGCTGGAAAGAAATGTGGAATGTGGACGTATGAATATTTAATTGAAAATAAAGTTATAGGAGGCGCTTGCGCGACCACAGAACTCCACTTAAGTCTCCTGAGGTCGCGTACACGTGTCCGCAGCGCGAAAATTTAAAATTACATAATATCCACTAATAAGAATTACTGGAAACGCACGGCGCAAAGTCACTCTGAATGGATTAAATCGTCGGCATCACCGATAATCCGCGTATCGTACGATATCGTACGCGGCCCCCGCCGTTTATGTAACAAATCATTTTTGTGTAGCGATATAGTTGCTCGGCAGATAAGAAAGTGGAAAGTCGTGTTATCAGGGTTAGTTCAATTTAAGCGATCAGCATGTCAGTAACACACAAATCTTGCCGCTTAATTGCAACTATATTGAATAAAAACTGTAGATCTGTTGTAAGTAATCGCAAAATTATTAGATTCCTATAAATAGGATGAAAATCTTCTTTCTGTTTGTTTAATTTTAGAATAAATCTGTTTTTAATAGAAATAGACATGTGGACATCTCGAAAGAGATTTACTTGCAGTCAAGGTCAATATATACGTCCACACTCTTGTTCAAAAATATTTCCTTCAAACTTTCTGATATCGGCGAAGGTATTAGGGAGGTTGCAGTGAAAGAATGGTTCGTGAAAGTCGGGGATAAGGTATCTCAGTTTGATAATATTTGTGAAGTTCAAAGTGACAAAGCGTCTGTGACAATAACCAGTAGGTACGATGGTGTAATTACCAAATTACATTATGCCATCGACGAGACCGCCTTGGTCGGAAAGCCCTTGGTGGATATCGAGACGGACAGCGGTAAGTCGCAATATTGAGGTCATTTAAATTGGACGGTGCGTGACCTTATTCGCGGCAATTTCAAATTTCAGGTGACGATACCGAAAGCTCATCGGACGACGAGAAAGTCGAGAAAAAAACTGAAGAGAAGATCGTAAAGAGCGTACAGCAAACATCACCGAGCTCCTACAAGAAGGACATTTGTATTCCATCTGTCAGAAGGCTCGCCAAGGAGCACAGCGTCGACTTGTCTTTGATTAATGGATCTGGAAAGGACGGAAGAATACTCAAAGAAGACGTTCTGAATTTTTTGAAATCACCCGAATTGAAGGCAGATGCTGCTCCATCAGTTCCTGTTCATACACCAAAAACCGTGCAAGCCGATAGAACGGTACCGGTTAAAGGTTTCCAAAAGGCTATGGTCAAAACTATGACAGAGTCCTTGGTAATTCATGTAATTAAAAAAAATAATGCAATTTACTATAATTTGCTATTATACTTAGAAAATTCCGGATTTCGTATACTCCGACGAAGTAGCTGTTACTAAATTAGCCCAATTAAGACAAGCCGTGAAGGAAGAATGTTTGAAGAGCGGCGTTAAAATATCTTACATGCCTTTCTTTATCAAAGCGGCATCAAATGGTTTGTTGAAATATCCAGTGTTGAACGCCTCCGTGGACTCGAATTGCGAAAACATCACTTATAAAAGCTCGCACAATATCGGTATTGCCATGGATACGAAGGTAGGCTTAGCTGTTCCAGTCATCAAGAACGTGCAAGATCTCTCAGTCATTGAAATTGCCAAAGAGCTGAACCGCCTAATGATCAGCGGAAAAGAGGGCACCTTTTCGGCTAGCGACCTTACAGGGGGCACCTTCGCGATTTCCAATATCGGTGTTGTAAGTCATCAAAATCCGCGGAGCATATCTTGTTATTTGATGAATTGATAACTTTCAGATTGGAGGCACGTATACCAAGCCAGTGATTCTACCACCACAAGTAGCAATCATTGCTTTAGGAACTTCAAGGGTATTTCAATCAAGCATGTATAGTTAATAACTTGGTTTTATTTGAATTTCGATTTAAGGTATTACCAAGATTCGATGCCGACATGAAGGTGATTCCTGAAGAAATCATCTGCGTGAGCGGAGCCGCCGACCACCGGGTTGTGGATGGTGTCAGCATGGCAAGCTTCATCAATTTACTCAAGAAGCAAATCGAAAATCCGTATCTGCTGTTCCTCAATCTCTAAATACCGTGTGTTCAAGGAGAGTGGTGGAGGTGAAGTAATGAATAAATGAAGTTTTACGTCATAAATTATATTTTGAAATATTACAAAAAGATTCCTACATTCCTAATATAAATATCCATGTTTTTATTAGTCTCGATTAATATAAAATATTGAATAAGGCCCTTCTTTCCCAAATTTGAATATTGAAATATATTAAGACACATTAATTAAGGCGTTTTTTTTGTGATCAGAGGAAAACAGTAGCTATATAATAATACAAACAAACCTTTTGTGGGAAGACTACAATTAAACATAATGATGAGTAAATACTACATGTTCAATAAAATATTAGTTCATCGAAGAACAATAACCAACGATAAATGTCTGTTAGTTAAATATAAATAATTTAAAGCTTATAAAATCAACCTAACCGTTTTCTTTTTAGTCATAGCTATAAACATATACATATATATATATTTATTATTTTTTGTTTTAGAATCACAGAAATATTACGATTCATTCATATAACAAGTATACAATCATCAGGTAATAAAATGATTTGGCATTTGAATTATCCACTGGAAAAGAAAAAAAAACGGGGAAAAAAATAGTATAATAGTTGTTAGAGCTATTAGAGAAGTATGTGTAAAATATCACACTTGCGATGTGTTAATGGAAATGGATGTCCTAAAAACCAATTCGCAAGTTACGAAGCACATCTTAATTTGACCAAATTACGTTTCAATGTGCATCTATTAATACATCATAGATGATTAAATATTGAACTTTCGGGTCAACTTACTTGCGGAGAATCGTTAAACCCTCCCACCAATAACTACTATATGGATGCTTTAACAAAAAAATACTACAATTCTCTCCAGAATCAGTAGTTATCAAAGCACCGAGTGATGTTTACGTAATTTTATTGTTTGTTTTGCTTTTCACAATGACGCATTGTTGATGTACTGGTGGGAGAGAGGCCTAGATAGAGAAAGGAAGAGAGAAAATATTTCGATGACTTACGTTATTTTTTTATGCGCTAATTTGCAATTAACATACGGATTCTGCAGTATCCTCGGAGTCGTCTCCATCACTCTGAGCAACAGGTCGTCTAGATAATCCTCTAAGTCTTTGAGCTTCTTCTTGTTGTGGTCCAGGTCCGACTGCACCTCGCACAGCATCAGAATTACATCCTGTGAATGTGAATAGTTATATAATGTTTGAATTTGTATTCAGACTGACTGATTTACCTCTCTAGATTTTCCTTCAAATTTTTGCAGCAGTTCGTTAGAAATTCTATTGTTTGTGGTCACGGGTGAGTCATTCTCACCGCCGATGATAACGCGCTCATTGTTCTTATCGGTTTTATCGTCATTTTTATCTGAAAATACAACAAATTAAATTATTTAATTGGATCGGTTTAATGTACTACCTTTTCTCAAGTTCCGTAATTTTGTAATAATGCTTTCTTTTTCAATTTTTGGGGCCAACTCGGGTGATTTTGATTTGATGCTCACAGAATCGCCAGGGACCCAGTCTTCCTGTTGCTCGGAGATATCCTCCTCTTCGATTCGTGTGGATAATTTTGGAGACTCCCAAGATCTTCTATTCAAGTTCTCCAGGCTACTAGGCTTCAAATTTGACTTGTTCTTATTTAACTTCATCTCCCATTCATCAGTTTTCGCTTCGAATCTTGGAGGTTTGCTGGGTGGAAGTGTTTTCCTTCTCATCGATTCGTCCAAGGTGTCATTTGACTCAAACAGCTTTGGCGTTTGCGGCGGTTGGTTTAAGGAGCTTGCCGAACTCTTATGAGACAGATCGTCAAACATGAAGTCATCTTCCTCGTCACTGACAACTCCTGGATCAGCATCTTCAAACGTCTGTTTGCTCTTAAAACTTGGCTCAATCGCAATAGTGCTTCGTCTCAGACTAGCAACACTACCCATAGACGAATTGTCGTCAAAGTCGTCCTTCTTTTTGCCTTTCAAGTGCATCTTTGAACCAATGGATTTTGCAAATTTCTTAAGGCCCTTCCTCTTATCTACGCTACCAATGCTCAGAAGGCTTCCGCCAACGGAATGCGCCATCTGCGATAACTGACCTACTGAAGACTTGTGTTTCTCTTTCTTGCTAAGGTCCGTCAAACTACCAGATTTAACCGTGAACGCAACCTTGACTTCTAACTTACCTCGTTCTTTGGATTTATCTTCTTTGCCTAAAATAGAATGTTAATATTCAATGTAATTTACAATTTATAAAAAGGCACAAACCTGGTTTACTCTGTAAAGTGTACCATCTGTTTTTAGGCCTTTCATAGGTATCCAATGTATTCAGAGGTATAGTGACTCTACCTAAGAATTCATCAACACCAAGAAAGTTTTGGTGCAAAACTGTTAATGCTATTTCAGCAGTATTCCCTTGTTCAGGTATTGGACTAGAAGTATGAATGTTAATTATATTTATAAATAAAAATAGTAGAAACTTACAGTTCACATTCTTCATGCCATTCCACAGATGGTTCAGCTTTCTTCTTCACGGATGTCTGGTATTTGGTTTTGCCAAGGGCAATTGTTACAAAACAATCATTCGTATTGTTCTTCCCTTTGACCAGAAGATCAGTGGCTCTTTGCACTGGAAATTGGGGTCAAATGAGAGGTTCATGGAGATATTTGCAATATTTTTATTACCTGTGACTTGTACATGTGTAGGCATCCACATTTTTTATTGTTCTTTAATTGATTCTAATTAGATTTTAATAAGCGTAAAAGAATGCTTTTTGCAAGTGAAATGTGCCAATTCCACAAGATTGATAATTTCCGATGGTATTTTTAGACGCTCTTTACCGTTCTATACTCATTTCAAATACTTTCTGATCGCACAGAAAGGTTCCGATGCAACGTAAATAATGCCGTTATGCGCGATGGGAGTTCACCAATTTGAATGAAGTGGTAATACTTCGAGTGGCTCGTAGCACAACAACCAACAACAACTTCTCACTGCTTCTCACCTAAACACATCAACACGAAACCACGAAAATATGTAGACAATGAGTGAATAATTACAATCTGTTGACATCACTGCCTTGTTGCCAGGTATATGATACACTAACTCCAATTCAAACATACTTGGGACATGATAAATCCCAAAATCCATATAACCCAAACGTCCATTCAGCATCAACTTTTTGAAACTTTCCTTTAAATTCACCTTTACCACAGCCCACCAGAGCCTTCAGTGATTTAAATGTTGAATATAAAAAATATAATTGGCAACATTCTTTTACATATTTGTGTTGGTAGTACTTTCAACTGGAGAAAAGTTGAATTTCAGCCATAACCTGTAAATATGTTTCATAGAAGATATCTATGCCAAGTATTGAAATATTGCAAATATAAATGCAATGCATCTCAAAATGAAGCAGCCAGAATTGTGCACACGTCTTCGAGGTTCTACTGTGATAATAAAGAGAACAAAGTGCAAGTGCAAATGAATTTTGAGAATATAGAGAAGAAGACGAAGAACTCATATTTGGACATGATTGATATTTTTATTGGCAGGGATGTGCACAGGAGAGGTCATGTAGAGTTCATATACTCAGCAATGAAGAACATGCAAAGCTTTAATGTACACCAGGATTTAACAGTGTACAAAGCTTTAATTGATGTGCTTCCCAAGGGGAAGTTCATCCCGACAAATATGTTTCAAGCTGAGTTTATGCACTATCCTAAGCAACAGCAATGTGCAATAGACCTTCTGCAACAGATGGAAGACAATGGTAACTAATTACAAGTACCATCAGCTTTATTTTAAATTATATTGTTTTAGGTGTTATGCCTGATTATGAGATGGAAGATATTCTGTTAAATATATTTGGTAAAAGGGGTTACCCTTTAAGAAAATTCTGGAGAATGATGTATTGGATGCCTAAGTTCAAGAACTTATCTCCATGGCCTGTACCAAACCCACCTCCAAATGATAGTTTTGAGTTAGCAAAACTTGCTATTGCAAGGATAAGCAGTATTGATATACAATCTCAGATGACCATTTACCATGTAAATTTCTTACAATATTTATTTCAATACTTGCTATACAACATAAATTGCAGACCTCAGATATAGCAGATTCAATTGAAGACACATGGATTGTTAGTGCTCAAAGTCCTATTCAGAAAGTCTTATTGGAAGAACACAACCCTAAACAACCAATTTATGTGGAAGGGTCATTCAGGGTATGGCTTAGGAACGAATCAGTAAACTACTTCATTTTGAGGACTGCTGCTAAGGTTCTTGACTACGAAATTGAAGACACTGATGGTAATTTACTGTTATTTTTTTAGTTCCTCTCTTTATACCCATTTGTTTTTAGACGTCAGCAATATTAAAGTACCTTTCTTCAATATATTGCCGGAAGAACCGAAATCTTTATCCACTATTCCATCGGTGCATGAGCAGGAAGATGGTGTTATTTATGCGCTATGCGCGACAGGCACTTCGAGCAAAGACTCGCTATTGTCATGGGTTAGGCATTTAGAGAAGGTAAACCCAAAATTAACAGAATGTCCTATTGTGTTTACCTTAAAGTCGGCAGAAAAGGAATTGGCCACTTTCCAAGGAAATAACGACGAAGATGAAACGAAAACCAAGATAGATGAGAAATGATTTGAATTTCTTGTACATATTTGAAATTTTAAATTATATTATTTGTTCTACCTACATTTTTTCTATACTACAAAATTATGTATAGTTCATAATGAAGTACCTGTTAAAACTAATGAATGGAAACAAACATATGTTATGTTAATGTTTCCTTATGATTCGCACAATATTAACATGTTTCATATTGACTGTAATTTAGCGCAATAACGACATATAAAATATATGTTAATAATAGGCAACCAAATGATCACCGGTTTTAAGATATGAATATTCAGAAGGTGCGTAGCTTAATCCTGGCCATTCTTAAAACTTTGGTAACGTAGCTTTGGTATTAGCGTTTGTTGAATAATTGAATGATTCATGATGTACTTATTTCGTGCTATTTTTTAATGAGATAAAAAAAATACTGTATCAGTATAGATAACACATTTATTAAAGATGTTTATTTTAATTATTGAATATGAGAGCTATTACTCTGTATCATGGAATTATTTTATCAGCAGAAGTTACAAAATCCAGATTTCTTGGCATTCATAAAGTACATGTATTCCTAAAAAGAAACAGTTTTAAAAATTTCGTTGTAACCATATGATTTCGTACTTACTAAAAGGAAGGCAATTCCTAGGAGAAGAGCCTTGTGCCTTGAGTCCTCTCTTCTGTTAGGAAATTGAAGGCATAAGTTATAAGCACTCTGGACTTGGTCCCAATGATGGTTGATGCTACCTAGTTGTGTCATACCATCAGGAGAATATATTTTGAAATACGCTTCTTTTCCCATAGAAAAGCAACCTAAACTCATTGGTCCTTCCACTCTGTATATCAAAGTTTTGTGCTTATTGAAAATATGAAACCTTGGAACCGTTAAGCTAAATTGCTGCTGAATCCAACCAATTTGTTCGCCGTTAGGCTTCAAAACTTGCATGTACTGAAAGAAATACTTTAGAAAATTTTATCGTAAAATTATACTTTGTCATACATGTAAATAGCACCAAATTGAGCACATTCCGCACGCCATCCTACGTTCTAATCTTAGAGCTTCTTGCTGTGTTTGATCATAAAGTTTCATTCTGAAAGCCCTGTTTGATCCGCAACATAATCTCTGGCCTCCTGTAGATTCCTCTGTTGCATAAAATAGAGTTTCTCCTCTCGGGATTTTTACCGTGTACCTATTCTCTGATTCCACATTGGATAGCACTAAAATTTTATAACATGTAGTTTATATTATTAAGTATAGATTTGTCTACAATCGCTTAGTTCCACAGTTTGCTGTATATAAACTTGATCTGCTCCTCTTAAAAAGTCGAAACCATTTCCAGGGATGAATTGGGTTTCATTTGTACTATGCCAATCCAATGTTGATATTGGAATATTCCTTCTGTTAGTATTATCATCATCTAACAATAAATGTATATAAAATAAAAAAAAGTTTAAAACTATTAGTAGGTAACAAACCGTTGCTGTATGGCTGGACGGTGATTGAAGGACTTTCTACGTATTCTGAATCCCTAAAGCTCGGTAAATCCAACTCTGCAATAATTAATAAGGTTGTTGGTAATAAATATAAATGATGCATATACCAGTAGAATGATGTTCCATTGTATCGGAACCATTTTGAACGTTTTCTGGGACATTGAACATGTTTGTTCGTAATATGAAACTACAATATTAAATTTTGTGAACAATCAAGTATTATCTGTGGTTCTTATCAATAGAACCTTATCGATCTGTATTGGCAAGATAATAAAAATAATATCACAGCGAATAAGTTGCACAATTTTGTATTTGTTTCGAGATTAACATTAACATTATTTTCGAAGAATGTCTATTATACTTATAAATTTCTAAATTTTAAGTGCGCAATCTGCATATGCAACCACATGATCTTAGAGTTCCAAAGATTCACAAAAAATTGTCAATAACACAACCACACAACTAACCTATCTGTTCGTTATCTGAAAAAATAAATGACTCTCTATGTGCCAATTTGTAGATAGTTTTCATTTTTAGTTAGCACTCATGTAGGGTATGGCATACAAGAGTAAGCAAGATGATTGCAAAAGGTTGTCCAAAATGTGATCAGCAGGTGATGAAGCTGACACCTAATATAATTGTTTACATTAATGATTGAATTGTCCACATTAGGTCCCAGTGGCTTGTAAAGCATGTCCTTGTGGCTATTCTTTCTTTAACGCACGAAAAACAGCGCAGTTACAGTTGTCACCAGGTGAAGAGTATCGTAGGAGGACTGGTCGTGTTCGTAGAGAGATTGATTATTATGATGGTTTAGACTACGATAAGAAGCAAGATCAAATGAAGAAGGTTTGTTATTTATAGTGTACTTTGCATTATTAGATTTATATTTTATTATAGAGCCGAACAAGTGAGTGTGATGATGATGACAATATGTCCAGGAAGGAGTTGAATAAAGCGAAGAGAAAAAAAGTTAAGAAGGAAGAGGAAGATGATGATGAACTGGTAATGAATCTTAGTCCTGAAAAGCAGTTACAATGCTCCTTAATTTTGGAGGAACTCAATAGGAAGATGCAGGTGGTGACTTGGAAGCCCACTGAATAAAATTATGTCCTCATTATGTCTATTATAGTAGTGGAAAATGGAGCTTTGTAATAGTTTCATGAATAAAAGAAACTAGAATTATGAAATAAATTTATTGAAAAAGTATTTCTGTGTTTTAACATTTGTAAGTATTAAATTCTATTGGTAACAGTAAATATAGTTTTCCTTCTTCCTGCTTCTTCACTCTTGAAAGAGTCTCTGTCCACCTCTGCCATTTAGCTGCGTCCTGTCGACGCATTACGCCAGTAATGAAGTTGAATATTTTAAGGAATGGAATGTCAATAATTATTGGTTCTTATGTATTATTATAGGGAAGTTGTATGTAACTGATTTCTGAGAATTGCGAATTGAACCGTCAGAAATCCATCGTAGTGCAACTCAAGTCCTCTATTTCTTCCATACACCTGATCATCAATGGGACTCCCTTTCTTCTCCAATATGGCTCATTTTCTATTGGAATTAATAATCGAACACATATATTGACATTAACCCATTCATTTAATTGGATAATTATTACTACTTTATTGATTTTTGCCTTATTGTCGCTATTGTGTTTATCAATTATTCCACAATCGGGAGTTTTATTGTTGTTAATTTTTTTTGAATTTAAACATCAGTTGGCACTTACTGCTTTGCGTCGGTACGTGAAGAGGGAGTTCATTCTCAGTTCGTTCCTCTATGAGTCGGCGTGAGCTCCGGTTTTTATAACTTCAAAATTGTTGGCAAACTAGTTCAAATCTTCTGAAGTGTGTTGTGTTTTGCGAAAACCATCATCGGTGATCACAACCCCATTAGATTTAGCGGCAATTAAAGGTTAGTGGTGAATCTGATTCTAAACATTTTTTTTTTGCATTGTATTAAAAAGTTTTTAAATTTGTTCGCTAATCCATTACGTAGCGTGTGCTAAAATGTGCGTATTCCGTAATAACTCTTAATTGAGAAATTTGCGTTAATTAATTAGAAATTTGGACGCATCAAAAATGGCGGACCGATGCGTTCTTTTTTTTGCTTATTGTTGATATCAATGCATTTTTATTGCAAAAAATAAAAATTAATGTACAAGTTGGTACGAATGTGGCGTCTCTATGAGGTAGTTGTGCGCGTCCCTTTCTTAAGTCAACATCATTCCAATTAGAAGTGA